TATAGTGGGTACTACAGTGAGGGAAAAACGTATTTGAGCCCCTGCTGATTTTGTACGTTTGCCCACTGACAAAGAAATGATCAGTCTATAATTTTAATGGTAGGTTTATTTGAACAGTGAGAGACAGAATAACAACAGAAAAACGCATGTCAAAAATGTTATAAATTGATTTACATTTTAATGAGGGAAATAAGTATTTGACCCCTCTGCAAAACATGACTTAGTACTTGGTGGCAAAACCCTTGTTGGCAATAATAGAGGTCAGACGTTTCTTGTAGTTGCCCACCAGGTTTGCACACATCTCAGGAGGGATTTTGTCCCACTCCTCTTTGCCGATCTTCTCCAAGTCATTAAGGTTTCGAGGCTGACGTTTGGTAAGTCGAACCTTCTGCTTCCTCCACAGATTTTCTATGGGATTAAGGTCTGGAGACTGGCTAGGCCACTCCAGGACCTTAATGTGCTTCTTCTTGAGTCACTCCTTTGTTGCCTTGGTCGTGTGTTTTGGGTCATTGTCATGCTGGAATACCTATCCACGACCCATTTTCAATGCCCTGGTTGAGGGAAGGAGGTTCTCACCCAAGATTTAACGGTACATGGCCCCGTCCATCGTCCCTTTGATGCGGTAAAGTTGTCCTGTCCCCTGAGCAGGGGACAGGACAATGTTTCCACCTCCATGTTTGACGGTGGGGATGGTGTGCTTGGGGTCATAGGCAGCATTCCTCCTCCTCCAAACACGGCGAGTTGAGTTGATGCCAAAGAGCTCCATATTGGTCTCATCTGACCACAACACGTTCACCCAGTTGTCCTCTAAATCATTCAGATGTTCATTGGCAAACTTCAGATGGGCATGTATACAGTGAGGGAAAAACGTATTTGATCCCCTGCTGATTTTATACGTTTGCCCACTGACAAAGAAATGATCAGTCTATAATTTTAATGGTAGGTGTATTTGAACAGTTAGAGACAGAATAACAACAAAATCCAGAAAAACGCATGTCAAAAATGTTATAAATTGATTTGCATTTTAATGAGGGAAATAAGTATTTGACCCCCTATCAATCAGAAAGATTTCTGGCTCCCAGGTGTCTTTTATACAGGTAACGAGCTGAGATTAGGAGCACACTCTTAAAGGGAGTGCTCCTAATCTCAGCTTGTTACCTGTATAAAAGACACCAGTCCACAGAAGCAATTAATCAGATTCCAAACTCTCCACCATGGCCAAGACCAAAGAGCTCTCCGAGGATGTCAGGGACAAGATTGTAGACCTACACAAGGCTGGAATGGGCTACAAGACCATTGCTAAGCAGGTTGGTGAGAAGGTGACAACAGTTGGTGCGATTATTCGCAAATGGAAGAAACACAAAAGAACTGTCAATCTCCCTTGGCCTGGGGCTCCATGCAAGATGTCACCTCGTGGAGTTGCAATGATCATGAGAACGGTGAGGAATCGGCCCAGAACTACACGGGAGGATCTTGTCAATGATATCAAGGCAGCTGGGACCATAGTCACCAAGAAAACAATTGGTAACACACTACGCCGTGAAGGACTGAAATCCTGCAGCGCCCGCAAGGTCCCCCTGCTCAAAAAAGCACATACAGTGAGGGAAAAAAGTATTTGATCCCCTGCTGATTTTGTGCGTTTGCCCACTGACAAATAAATGATCAGTCAATAATTTTAATGGTAGGTCTATTTGAACAGTGAGAGACAGAATAACAACAACAAAATCCATAAAAACGCATGTCAAAAATGTTATAAATTTATTTGCAGTTTAATGAGAGAAATAAGTATTTGACCCCTCTGCAAAACATGACTTAGTACTTGGTGGCAAAACCCTTGTTGGCAATCAGAGGTCAAACGTTTCTTGTAGTTGGCCACCAGGTTGCACACATCTCAGGAGGGATTTTGTCCCACTCCTCTTTGCAGATCTTCTCCAAGTCATTAAGGTTTCGAAGCTGACGTTTGGCAACTCGAACCTTCAGCCTCCCTCCACAGATTTTCTCTGGGATTAAGGTCTGGAGACTGGCTAGGCCACTCCAGGACCTTAATGTGCGTCTTCGTGAGCCACTCCTTCGTTGCCTTGGCCGTGTGTTTGGGGTCATTGTCATGCTAGAATACCCATCCACGACCCATTTTCAATGCCCTGGCTGAGGGAAGGAGGTTCTCACCCAAGATTTGACGGTACATGGCCCCGCCCATCGTCCCTTTGATGCGGTGGAGTTGTCTTGTCCCCTTAGCAGAAAAACACCCCCAAAGCATAATGTTTCCACCTCCATGTTTGACGGTGGGGATGGTGTTCTTGGGGTCATAGGCAGCATTCCTCCTCCTCCAAACACGGCGAGTTGAGCTCCATTTTGGTCTCATCTGACCACAACACTTTCACCCAGTTGTCCTCTGAATCATTCAGATGATCATTGGCAAACTTCAGACGGGCATGTTTACATGCTTTCTTGAGCAGGGGGACCTTGCGGGCGCTGCAGGATTTCAGTCCTTCACGGCGTAGTGTGTTACCAATTGTTTTCTTGGTGACTATGGTCCCAGCTGCCTTGAGATCATTGACAAGATCCTCCCGTGTAGTTCTTGGCTGATTCCTCACCGTTCTTATGATCATTGCAACTCCACGAGGTGAGATCTTGCATGGAGCCCCAGGCCGAGGGAGATTGACAGTTCTTTTGTGTTTCTTCCATTTGCGAATAATCGCACCAACTGTTGTCACCTTCTCACCAAGCTGCTTGGCAATGGTCATGTTGCCCATTCCAGCCTTTGTAGGTCTACAATCTTGTCCCTGACATCCTTGGATAGCTCTTTGGTCTTGGCCATGGTGGAGAGTTTGGAATCTGATTTATTGATTGCTTCTGTGGACAGGTGTCTTTTACACAGGTAACAAGCTGATTAGGAGCACTCCCTTTAAGAGTGTGCTCCTAATCTCAGCTCGTTACCTGTATAAAAGACACCTGGGATCCAGAAATCTTTCTGATTGAGAGGGAGTCAAATACTCATTTCCCTCATTAAAATGCAAATCAAGTTATAACATTTTTGACATGCGTTTTTCTGGATGATCTTGTTGTTATTCTGTCTCTCACTGTTCAAATAAACCTACCATTAAAATGATAGACTGATCATTTCTTTGTCAGTGGGCAAGCGTACAAAATCAGCAGGGGATCAAATACTTTCTTCCCTCACTGTATTTTCCCACGTGATCATAATTTTATTTAACGTTGTATCAAATTCTCCACAACACAACATGCATTTCCCCTTGTGTTTAAATTTAAATATTTGAAGTGTCTTCCCAGAACTTCGTTTAATGTGGAAAATATAGTATAGGGCCAAAGTGATTAGCACCGAGATGAATATTAAATTAAAACTGTGTCCTGTTTGTTTCCTCTGGCCAAGCGGATATTTATCATAATTTCAGCTTTGTCCATTGGCATTGCTCCAGATATATAAGAAGCATTTGTGAAAAATTTGCTCACATTAAATTTAGCTTGCAATACTGACGTTTAATTGATTCAATAATTTTAAGCAGTCCCTGCAGTCCAGAAATATTGTAATTACTGTATATGGAACATTGATTGTCATATCAAGGTGAATTACCTGCCTTCAATCTAACTCCAGTTATCAACGTTCTGAAATCCAATCCAGCGTTTCAAGCCTGCCCACCTCCTTCATTGATGTGTAGATTGTGTTCTTTCATATTTAAATCAAGCCACATGTTTTTCTTTAAGCTACAGGTTAAGAGATCTGAAATCTGCATCACAAACACTTCATTATCATTGATTGCCCCCTGCTCTCAAGACCTGTCAACGGTCCAGCTTTTCACATCTCCAAATGAACAGAATGATGTTCTTCCAAATTCATAATCCGATCAATACCTGCAATGAACATGAATGAAAATGTGCTGGATGTGAAAACAAGTACCACGTCGTCTACAATGCTCCGACCACGCATGACCACCAGCGTCATAAACAAAATAAAAATAAACGAACGTGTCGTGTACATATGCATCACACGTGCGGTCCTATTCACATGTTGCTGGATATGAATCTATGTAAAAAAAAAAGTGACCAATTGCGTCCGTCATCAACGAAGGGTCAACTGAACGGTTAAGGCAATGTGTGTCTGCCAATTCATGAACACGTGAACCGGGGCTCATAGCGCAGAGGCAGCTCCAGGTGGAAGGTCACATTTTCAGGTCATCCTCACCGAACTGCGTTTGTTTAATGAATCAGGAAACGTGACTTCGCATACCAACAAAGCCTAGCTACGGTGGGCAACGTCGCGCTTTGCTTCTTTCTTTGGTGCCGGTCGGACAGAGGAACGGGTGGATGAAGAACCTCAGCCCGGGTCTCAATGACCTCGTTCAGAACTCGTGACCCCTGTGTGTATGCTTGTTGAACTTCTTTCGCGCCGTACATAGCCAACCGCGCCCAGCAGTGGCGCCGTGATTTGTGCACTGTGCTGAGGTTTTTTTTTTTGGGGGGGGGGGGGTTAGGTCGCGTCAATATAAATGTGTCGTTAAACCCGCCACCACCCGACACAGCCCATTAGTAAGGTTTGTCACGTAAACAGAACGTGGCCAATTCGTTATTAGTTCAGCACACCGGTTGTGTGTTGGAGAGTAAACCCACAACATTTACAATTCGAGTACGACGTTTCGCCAGCAATTACAACTGGCATCATCAGGCGGACAGACAAATTTACTACGGATAACATTGGTCGAGAAAGCCCACGTGCTAAACTCTTATACTGGGTCGGAAGGTTCGATCCCTGGCCCTGGTTTATATTAGTGGCAAGCGATGTCTTAAGTCGGTCCCCTCCCCCCTCTCTTCGCGAAGTCGCGCTCATGAGCGTGGTGACCAAAAAAAACACAAAAACAACTCCCATGACTGACGTAGCGTGGGGAGGCCGTCGACCAACAGAGGATTGACAAACAGGGCTGAACCCTTACGATTGTTGCCTTCTTGTCTTCTGGGGGTTCGCGATTCACGAGGAATGGAACACGTTTTTGCAACAGCTTGACAGTTTAATTAAAATGTGCGGCCCTTAAATGTTTACAATGACGACGTTAAAACGTGACTGCTGTGTTTTGTGACTTTTCAAAGACTTTGCTTCTCGTTTAATTTGCATTTTTGACCATTTTAAATAATTTATTATTTTATTCTCATTCTACGTGACTTTACCGAAAGAACCAAAGAAGAAAAACCTTCCTGTTTTCATCAAAATTTAGCTTCCATTAAACACGTAATTATTTGAAATGTTCGAGATATATTTCTAGAAAATAGCAAAGTTTACCAAATTAAACTTCTTCCATGCAATATAATTTTCCAAGTAGAGCCAGACATTAATTACGCACTCATTCACTTTCTCCCCCCCCACCCATCCCATTCATTTACAACTTCTGGTTACAGGTTAAACGTGACATATTGTTTATAAAACATTAAAAGCCGTTCAATTGAAATACATTGCAATACGATTCAAGTCGATTTGTCTTCAGTGGACGCAAAGCTTTGGGATGGATGTTTTATCGTAAACCAAGCAGTGTGTATGGTATGTTCCACATTGTCTTTGATTACATTTCTTTTGTAGATTTACAAGGCACAACATTCAATGCTTTATGCATTACAGACTTTACGTGAAATTGCACACAGAAGACATGTCTATAGGACAACCAAATTACAATACTAATGGCATCAAAATGATTAACGTTTCTTTCCAGAACCACGGGGCTAACATTTTTGTTCGCTGCATGTGTCTTTTTAAAAAATTGCAGTAATTAAATATAGCATTATGCAATCGATTGCATGACGAAAAACAGTGCACACGTGCCGAATAATGTGAAGCGAAGTCGCTATCTACAATGTAGAGTTTTGTTGTTGTTGAAATTTTGAATCTTTGGGTCAATGCCGGTAAACAATTTGAAAGGAAATTGCGGTGCTACAGGCCGACATGACATTTAAACATCGATAAGAACAGATAAAGACGAATGGATTTTAAACACTGGCGATATATTTTAAATACATTTTATTTATATATATAAAAAACAAAAAAGTAACCACTCGCATTTTGAGAATCAAGTTTATGTTTTTATATAATGCCATATTCTCTGAGCATGCCTCCTGTGCCCATGGGTCGCGTTCAGCGTATGCTCACATCGCCGTACCAATAGGGCCGATGAGATAAAATCTCCCGCAGTTGAACGTGTAGCAACGTATCTGGCGCATGGGTCATTTTAATTTCCTTCTGCACAAGCGAAGGGAAATTTAGAAGCAGCAGTTCCCATGAAAACGGGAGCTTAATGCGCATTACCTTCCATGCAGTAACCCATTTATCTGTCCCAGCTGCTGATTAATCTTCGGTTGCATTTTAACCCCAATGATGGTTTATGCCAATCACATTTTTCAAGATGTGTTTTCAAATTTCACCGCGTGCAATTCGACATGATGTCCAACATCATGCTCCGCTTGCTGGCAGCTTCTTCGTGAACGGCGTTTGCTGCCGATCTCATTTGCCGCGAAAGCGAGCGAAATCTTGGACGTACAATATCGCAGCGCATGAAGCTCAAACGTCGGACATCTTTGCCAAACAACACGCGGCACAAACTGAACACGCATCGGAGAGGCACGCAGCACAATCGCACGAACCTACGCAGCACCAATATACAGTTGCACAAAAAACACATACGCGCTTCTTATGAATAGTATACAGCATTGTTTTGGTATGCACACTCAACTGCAGAGGTCTGCTCATAGATGTAATGTATTTAACGCTGAAGGTTTTGCCAAGCATGGTCAAACAGATGCACGTTTATGGAAAATAATCGAAAACAATACCAATAAAGGGGCAATAATTTTAATTCAAATTCTTTTTTAGTTTTTGCTAATTTAATCTAATTATGCTGTCGGAGTCATGTCATGAGACACAGAATCCGTTCGGCAAGCTTGCACAGCAGAGCATCCCGTGTGTCAGGGAATGGGTGCGGAGATGATTTTTTCCCCAAAGTATCCTTCAAGTGGGCTTTACCTCCTTATACGGCAGGGGTCACATTTTTGCAATACACTGTCATTACATTGTTTACCGTACGACAGGCCAAACAATTTCTGTTTTTAATAATTCTCAGAGCTATTTTTTTCCCAAATTAACTCCAAAGTAACATGTTGTGTTATTATTATTATTGTGTGCAGTTATTGGTGAACGGGGTGAGACCATCGTTTCACACGAGCATTTGCGAACTTAATTTAATCATGTGCTCTGAAGAAGGCTCTGAAACGTCACCTCTAGTATACTTTTTCTGATAAGGCAGTGTTAATGACGAACGTGTTGAGATTGTTGTAACTTCATCATGGCTGGCTGATTCACAGTGGATCTAAGCAGCCACTTTTACTTTCAAACTCTTAAGAGATACGATGCTAAAATATATGCCAAACGTGGCTATGTCTGGGTATCCCCGTAACTTCTTACACTTCAATTGATTGTCCTTTTGTTGGCATTCCATTGATAGCTTTACAAATTTTGTGACTTATAGTGCATTTGTTAAAGAGTTTTAAAGACAATTTGTAAAAAAAAAAATATCATAGAAAGTTTAAACGCAGCATAGGAAGTGCAAACAACTTTCGATGGGGGGGGGGGGGGGGAAACACGGCAATGTATGTCTGCTGAACTTCTTTCACACCGTACGTAGCCAACCGTGCCAATTGGAGGTACAATTTTCGGTGTAATTTTGTGAAATCCTCCTACCCTGCCGTGTAAAACCGGTTCGATCCAATGAATGCGTCGGTGAAGTAATGCACAACGTGTGCACCGTTTGGACTCAACGAGTTCACTCCTCACTCTCCTCCTCTTCCTCCCCGGCGTCATCCCCAGTGGGCTGTGCCCCGTCCACCGTGCTTCTCACGCTCCCATGGGACGTGTACATGCGCGTGCGCACCGGGCACTCTTCATTCATCAGGATGGACTGCACGCAATACGCACAAATACACGCGTTAAAAAAACTATATACACGGTAGACCAACATCTCACCGCAGATGCGTACTGTATATTGTTGCGGCAGAGTGCTGTTAGCAACCTCCTATGAAGGCCGGCATGACACGTGCGAAGACGATGGTGTGGCCGGTACCATTTCCTGGCCGCCTTTGTCTCCCCGGTGCTGATATTTGCACAGAACGCACACATTTAAGGTCGAATCAGCCTGTGGGAGGTCCATGACAGATTCAGATTGATGTAAGGCCGTGGCCAGGAATTTAATTAAGGTCACCCAATTCGCAGCATAGTGCGCTAGGCACACGTGCCACCACTCTGCGTGCGAGCACACAGAGATGCACAATAAATCAAATATCATTTGGTGGAGCCTGGGGGCTGATCTCCACCAAGCCTCCCTCCCTCCCTCCCGACCCCAGCCAACATCCGAAAACCTCCAGCAGCAATGCGCAATTGCCACGGCTGTCCAAATGGAATTGGCTGAACACTCACTGGGGAAGGGCCGGGGGATTGGAGAGGGCTGTCATCATCTGGCACGAGCTGGCAGGTACTGCTTGGACCTGCGTGGAATTACAGGAGGCCTGGAGGACTGGTTGCAGATCTTATGACCACGAGAGACTATTTGTCACTATGAAATAATTAAGGGGACTTGGGAGCATGGCACGGAGGTCTAGAAGCCTGCGAGTCCCAGGCTGTTGTGGGGTCACCTCCATATCAATACGAGGTGAGATATGGTGATGGCGGTGGCGGTGGTTCCCATGCCTCAATTGAGTCGCATGCCTTCAATGACCTCCTGTCACGTGCGTTGGCTAAAGTGGCCCTTGCGACAGTCACTTTATGAGGTGACATCGATGCCCAAGTGGGTCATTATGACGCTGACACACGAACAAACGATTGTGAGCATACATTATTAAGGCCCTGATGCACTTAGAGACTCTGGCTTGGTCTAAATGTATGTACGTATGTTGAACTTCTTTCGCGCCGTACGTAGCCAACCTTGCTAATCGGAAGGGCAGAAAACAAACAAGTTGATATTGTAAAAGTGCACTTTCCAGTATGAAACGACAGCATGGTACTTAGTTGAACATGTAACTGTTGTGGGTATACTCTCCAACACACCGGTATGCTGAACTAGTAACTAACTGGCACGTTTTGTTTACGTGACAAACCTTACTAATTGGCTGTGTCGGGTGGCAGTGGGATTCACGACACATTTATATTTACACGATTTAACCCAACAACACCTATATTATGGGCAGTTGAACAAGATCACGCGCATTTACGGCCCTTTCTCATTTCACTGCTGAGGACCTGCCCATGCCGTACAGATCATGGGGACTATTTGATATCCTTCACGGTGCTGGCCAGTGTGGGTTGATGATGGCGGGGGGGGAGGCATAGACGTGCGAGCGAAGTGCAGAATGACTGTCCAGTATGCTGCACCGCCCGCTGCTGTTCGCCGTACATTGCCCCTTAGTCGGTTGTGGATTTGACGGAACCCATAAAAAAAAACCCTGTATAATATTAAAACAAAAGCCAATCGGTGGGAATATTCCTCTAAGAGAGTCTGCATGATGCGTTGAGAATAACTTTGTCCAATTCAACACAACTGGATCAAGAGGCCCTAAAGAAGCCAACATCGCATGGCATATCCAGAGGTTTACAACCGGAGGACATTTGAAATTAATATTTCATGGGTTCTTTCGGTAAAGTCAAGTAGATAGAAAATTTATAAATAAATAAAGTGAATACAAATAAAATAAAATGTTTATAAACAGTTTGCCTTTAGAGGTTAACTCCCCTTTTCCTGATGACGACCGCTTGTGTTGCGATCGAAACGTCGTGGTTTTTTGTTTTAATTTGGTATTTTATTTTTTATTATTTTTAGTCACTTTGTTTATTATTATTATTATTTTTCTATCGATGTGACTTTACCGAAAGAGCCAAAGAATATGAATTCCTGCAGTCACGAAAGTTTTAAGTCAAAATGTAAAATTAAGTTTTGTTGTGAAACAATGAGCTCACCCGCTCAACTTGTGGTTCGCGTTATTGACACTAAACACACACCCATAATAGTAAGACTATGAAATGTGTAACGACTCTGACGACGATGTAGTAAGCGCCACTTCATTTGGACACAGCCACAATAAGGGACCCTAGGCTTCGTGCTTCGTCTTCCAGCTTGTAACTTCCTCCGAACGTCACCACTCCTCGTGCTCTCCCCTTTTTTATTCCTTCGATATTCCTCAGCCCCCTTTCTAGAACCTTCTCCTCCTTGTTTTTCCCTTAGCCAATCCCTGCCCTTCACCTCTAACGGATACTCTCTCTCTGTTTTCCGATCGATCTCGTCCACACCTTATTCCACCAATCCCTGTAAAAGTCTGCCTCCTGACCAATCACCGTGGAGGCCTCTTTCTACCAATCGGAGACCTTTGTTTATTTTTAAATAGCAGTTTGGCAGCATATCAGCTTGGGGTATTTTTTCAGTCACGAAAACTGTTTTAGCATTATTTTTTCAATGTTTTTTTATAAGGAATTTATAGGATTGTATTAATAAATGTAACTATCTCAACTAAAACTGTTATATTTTATAAAACTGTTATATTTTATCAGGTAAGGTGCACTGAGTTATATAGATATTTTTCGCAAGCGACCTGGTCACAAATGATAGGTCAACGAAGTGGCTTATCTTGTGGAAATTATTCGCAGCCAAATACTCTAAACGCGTGCTGTTGTTTATAAATGTGGAACGAAAAAAACGGAGGATCCAGAGAAACATTCAGCGCGATCATGGGGAGAGAGACACGCAAACTCCAAATATACAGCAGGAATCAGGGTCGGGATCAAAGCCACGACCTCCTGTATACCAGACGATTGCGCCGAGGGAATTTCTATAATACCATATGCTGGAGCTAAGCACCCAACGGACGTAGCCTACATATTATAACTGTAAAACAGTGTCACGTGTAGGACTATCTGCTTTCATTGATGACATCCAACGTGGCAGGGTATACATCAACGCTGCATAATTCCGATTGGAGATAGAGGACTCGACAAAAAAGGGGCAGCTTGAAATTTCACACTTTAAAAGTCTGATTCATGCTGCGGTCAAATGCCTATTGACGTTTTTGGTGTTGAGTAAATGGCGGTATTGATGTTCTTGGATAAATGTTGGCTAACCGCTCAATTCGAGTGGTGCACGGGGGAGCCGTTTGGAACGTACCATCTTCTCCTCGCGGCCGGGGGGGCTACGTAGGAAGTAGCACAGCGGAGCAAAGAGGATGTCGATTATCCCGATGATGGTCATCAGCCAGGGGAAGCCGATGGTGCGAGCGATCGCCCCACCAGCAGAAGGGCCTGGAAACATCGCAGACACGAATCTTGTCGGGGCATGGTAATGGCTGAGTGACTAATATGCATCATCATCATACTGTTGTAGAAACCACAGAAAGGTGGATTTTGGCACAGATAACATTTAATCGTATGATTATAACTTAAAACCATATATAAAAACTAAAATGTTCAAGTGTTGTCCCCCGAAAATTATGGACGACAAGTTCATTGGTTTCACTCAAATGACTGGATTAGCCTAAAGCTCAACATGGCTTTAGTCTCACGCTGAACCCTGAACAATGAAAGATATTTCCCATCATCAGTGAACCAAGTAAATTACTTCTCATGGAGTGTGACTATAAAGCCGACAGCGGTCAATGATAGCCTGCCAGACTGTTGGGCCCTGTCAAGGCTGGTAGGGCACCTGACGGTGTAATGTTGGGTGACAGCATGCCCGGGCCAACTTTGTCTATCCAATTTAAGACGTGAAGAGGTCTTAAAAAAAAGTAAAGCATTTTAAGTTGAGTCAATCTAGGTGATGCTCAAGCCAGGCTCAGATTCCAATTGCAACCTGGCGTTAGTTCGTAGCCAAGAATTGAGGTGACAAGCAAACAAACCAGCATGCCATTCGACCCACGTGCACACACAAATAGCAGCGCACACACTGAATCATGTGCAAGGACAAGTACCTACAGTATGTGCGCGTATACTCAATGTGTATTTTGCAAAGGTCTATGAGCTAAGAAACGTGGACAATGACTATGCAAATGGAATTAAAAGCTGAAAAGTTTGCAATGAAGCGTGGAGAAAAATGCATGCTTGAAATTACACCTAGAGAGAGAATGAGGCTATCAATGTGGATGAAGGTGCCTTGGGCAGGACACATCACTCGGGATGGCGGCCAGTCGGAGGGGATAGAGAATAACAGCTGAGCGGAAATCTAAATAAATAACATCTGAGCGGCATCTAAAGGAGGAGACACGCCGGAGAGGATGTCCAGTACGGAGTTGGAGCAATGAAATCAGCTGGTGTGCAGGTGGTAGATGTAATGTTGCGTCGAAAGGCGGCGAGGCCTCGATCAAGGCTGAAGATGAGAGGTATATTCGTAGAGAAGCACAGCATGCCCCTTGCGTCTCAATCCTGAGTGCAAACACCACATCCCAATGCGGATGTGCCACCAAATGAATGACAGATCTACGGGCGAATACCTAAAGGGTGTTTGTGGTGACATCAAGTTAGTTCCCAATGACATTAAGACAGGTCAGCCGTGTAACAGATGTTCTGCTGTGTGACGGTTGGCTATCATGCGTTGACATGGCAGCGGGAATATGTATGTGTGAATTCTGGAAGTGGTAAATCTGGTGACAGTGCCGGGGCTCAAGTATCAATGGGTCATGTGGCATTTGCCAATAATGTGATTCTCAAGCAACAGCGTAGAGTTCCAATTAATATCGCATAGACTCCGTAGTGGCGGAAATGATCGTGTGCAGCAATAACCATCAGCGTCTATGCGTCATTCCATCGGTGCGGCAGATACGATGAGTCGCAGTTTTAATTTATTGAAATAGATTGCTCTTGTCACGGCTTACCGAGGGATTGTTTAACCTCTCAGGGCACGTGTGAGTGCACCCGCCTGTCATACGTTTTGCTTTCGTGGTGTGGCACTCGCTACAATATAAAGGCTAATCCCAGTGCCACGAAAAAAAAAGAGGGGCATGCCACGATTATCCACCGGCGCACGTTCAGCTCACACACAGGGAAGTGCCTCAATGATGATTGCTGTACAATTTACATTTGACTCGTGAGTTATCTATACTATGAAATACATCCATCAAGACATGCTATTCTGTTGAACGGGTAAGATGGCAATATGTTCGGGAGCTAAATGCCAACGTCGAGGTCTGCTAGCCACGATAGGACTTCAGGGAGAGGGTTCGTGTAGTTTTGTTATTACTCCCCTACTGAAGATGCACAGACTGCAGTAGTTTACTCGATGGTCCATAGCTTGGGTTACGTGGCCACAATCGCTCTGTGTTTTGGCGATGGTGACCTTTTCGAAGTGCCACCTTTTTACGTGCATTCATGTTACCTTGAACATAACAATGTTTTGAATGCATTGTACGCCGATGGCACGATCAGAGAAAAAATATTGGGAAAAGTCCAATAAACCAATCTATGCTGTGGTGAGGTGTGCTTTCCGAGGCGGTGAGTGAATATGACAAGGGTTATGTTTGCATGGCTGAGGTTAAGAGAGTGGGAGAGCATCCCTGAGTCATACCCAGTGCAAAGCCCATGCAGAATGCGACATCGGCAATGGCATAGACGCTGCCGTACACAGACACGTGACGCAGGTCCACCAGGTAACCCATGAGTGGCATCATGGAGGAGTCCACCATCCCTGGACCACGCGAGCCACAATTAAGGATCAGCACCAATACAACTGCTGTAACTCTCACCATTATCATTGTACTCTTTGGGTCTGGTGGTAAAGTCACGTAGATCGAAAAATAATAAAATAATAAATCGCGACGTTTCTATCGCAACACGAGCAATCGTCTTCAGGTGAAAAAATACAGCAGGCGGACTGGTGAGGCAGGAAGAAATAATATAAATACAGCAGGCGGACTTATAATAATAATTCTTCCTGCCTCAGCAGTCCGCCTGCTGTATTTTTCACCTGAAGACGATTGCTCGTGTTGCGATCGAAACGTCGTGATTTTTTTTATTTATTTTTCTATCCACGTGACTTTACCGAAAGACCAAAAAGAGTATTAATTCCTGCAGTCACGAAAGCTTTAAGTCATTATCATTGTGTTCATCATTTTCACCATCCTTATCATCATCATCTTCACCATGATTATCATGATAACATCTAAGCATGACCATAATGAAGATAAACCTGCGGCTCCAGCTATATTCAGTTTGGAATTAATCATACAATTTACTGATATTTTTGTCACGCTAGTCATTGCTGTTATTATCGTTGTTGATGTGCCTGTGTTATTGTTAGTATCATCATCAGCATTAAACATTTGTTGATCTCCTGTATTCAAAAAAAGCTTACCGATTGCAAAGCCAACACCGAAATTTGGCACAATCAGTCCGTAAATAGTTTTGGCCAGCGGGACCTGACGAGAGTGCGAGAGAAACACAGAGTGGCAGGAGAAAAGTCGAACGCAATTAAAGAAACAGGCTTCGCTTACTCTGGACTAACTCGACGTACGAATGCTGAATCAAACAAAACAAAAAAAATGGTAACGACTTACACAGATTATGGAGATTCCTACTACGACCATTCCGATCAGTGCACACAGCCACCTGCAAACAAAGCACAATTTTTACCGCATAGATTTCACCCTTTCTGGCAATAAAACAGTTTGTGTTAAGATGTTAAAACACCAAACAGAAACCTTTTGCCAGGAATCCTGTCTGCATTAACCACACTTCATACTTGTGGTGAACGTGCAAACACAAAAACATGCTCTGAGAGTGTGTGCATTGTCTTTGAAACTGTCTGGTCCACACCAGAGACAGCTTTCTTTAGAGCCTAGTCTCAAACGGTGTTAGACCAGAAGACGCCAAAAGGCGAACAGCACAAAGACAATGCCACTATTAGGGCATTGAGAGCTCGGGGTGAGCAGCTACATCATGGGGCCTCCCATGCCAGTAAATCAAAATATAAGAATAGGTTTTGACCCTTTCTGGCAATAAAACAGTTGTGTTAAGATGTTCAAACACCAACAGAAAAGCACAATTTGTAGCGCTATAGAGTTCAGCTCTCCAAATGGATTTTCGACATCGCGCCGCAGTGTTGCTCGTCATCACGTCCGACGTTTCGCTCCACACGCTGTGCGCTTGCTTCAGGAAACGAAATGAGCTGCTCACTTCGGTTCCTGAATAAACATGGCAGGCAAACGCGCGGGTATAGCATAGAGACCGCATCGGAAACAGCTGTGAAGCACACAAATCGTTCCGACGTTTTAAAATAATTTTACGAGAGATGTGACCCACCGGGGTTTATTGCAGCATAAAGAGATAGCCACGGGGCTGAGAAATTGACCACGCCAGCTTAAGGATTACATTGGTCGATAAAGTGTTGTTATGTTTGGAATTGAACGGCACAGGAAGGTCTGACAGTTAATTAGTTGGGGCCACGAAAGTTGGTGACCTTTTCAAGGTGTGCCTCATTCGGGGGCATCCGTTCAGATGACAATGTGAGCTGGTATGACACAGTTGCAGAATTTTCATTCTGTTATGTAACAATTTACTCTGTGATCCTGGGCTGGAGGGAAGCTACATGGTTAGAGGTCTGGCTTTATATCTTATGGAACCTCATTCTGTCTTACATGTACGTGAAGTCTTCTGTTGCCTTACTTTGCCCTCTCTTACATTTTTCACACTGAGACAGAGAGCGTCGATTCAAATTAAGTGCGTTTGTTTACATAGCAATGGGATACACGCTCACACGTTCACACACGCACGAACACACAAGGCCTCTATCCTCATTTGACTGTTTAGCAATCATCATAACATCTAAGCATGACCATAATTAATATAACTTACTTCGCATTCGTGTCACTAAGTGAATGCCACGAATGATTATATTTCTGTGTTGTGTACATTATTCGAGACCAGATTGCAACAGTTTTTCCCAAACTGCAATATGCCAGCAAATGTTATAATTTTACTTTTAATACAAATGAATTAATGTCGTCATACATTTTTTATTATTATTGCAGGTTATGACTGTTACTCAATATCTATGAAAATAAAAAATAAACTGTTAATCAAGAAACAATTATTCAATGTAATTCTTATCAAGGCCCCATGGTGCAACGTGTCATCTCGGGCCCTGTTTGAGTCTCGGGTCTCTCTATTTATGGCGTAATGAAGAAGGGGCATTTCCCAAAACGTCACCTTTTATATATTTTCCTTTTAATGCCACAGTGACGAAGGTGTCAATAACCTCCAATTAGTACCTCCGATTAGCACGGTTGGCTATATACGGTGCTAAAGAAGCTCAACAAACAAACATACGTGTGGAGTTATTTGGCTTACTGTGGTGTGCCATGCGAAGTGAAGTTTGTTAAAAAATGAAATCTTGTTTCAGACACTTCCTCAATGACTCTCCCTACTGCATGTTGCAATTACTAAAATAATTATGATTATTCCAGGTGATTTTGTCACAGGCAGGGCAAATTTACACATTATTTTAATGCCTTACCTTCCCATTTTGTGAGCCAAAGGTCCAAATATGTTGGTGCCTATCCAGTAAGAGATGCTGGCTGGAATGAAAGCAACTCCTGTAAAACACACACACACACAAACAGACATGTATAAAATATGATAGCAACATACTGTCGTTGAATAAAGAAATGCAACGAATAGTCTCTCAAAAATGAATCAAGACAATTATAATAACAACATGAATCAACACTGAACATTTTAACTGTTATTTTGGGGAGGAAAAAAAATCATCAGCATGTTTACGAATCAATAACAACTATATGCTTACAAAGCAGTACCACGCTTCAAGACGAATAATTATGAGCAAATAATATTAGACTTCATAAAGAAAAAAGTGTAAAGTATAAAATAGTCAGGATTTAGTGTTGTAAGTATGTTGTATTTCTTTAGCACTGTATATATCCAACCGTGCTATGTATGTGCAGTGTCAGGAAATATGCATAGTGCCGTATGCATTCTTTTTTTAATATCACAATTGTTTTCATTATCCTGTCTTTTGGTTTCCAGAGCAACTCCAGGAGATTGCAGGTTAAAGGGAAACTGCAGCATCGACAACAGCGAGGATCGGCCATCCCTTACAACTGCCCTATTTTGAATGCAGCTGCTAACATAACATCGCTGCTAACACAGCCTGCTCCACCTGCTCTGTACCACAGTGGAAAAATAATTCACCAATGATTTAAATGTACAATTATTACAGAATGAGACTTTAAGGCAATTGAGCATTCATCATCATCATCGTTATCATCCGCAATGATCTATCCACTGCTGGATGAATGCCAGGGCGATATAACAACTTGATGCCACAATGGCACAATCCAACCCATTTTCACAAACGAGCTGATCTAATCGCTCCATCTCCATATGGTGGGCGTCCTCTCTGCCGTGTGTTGTCCTTTAGATGCCATTCTGGCGCCAGTCCCATCCATCGGCTATCATCCCTTCCATCGATGCGTCACTGTCCGTGTGTCTGATCCGCATGCCAAGGAGATAATATTCAGTGGAGGCAAACTGAACATGTATGGCGAAATACAGTTTTACGTAATTGCATGCCTAATTCCTGATGAATATGCCCTGTAGTGCGTACATCATGCGCACTGTACATGTGAAAGTGGGATATAAATCAAAACTCAATGTTAGGAGTTAAACATGCTATTATATTTCAAGAGACTCATCATTGCCCACACATTGCCATACACTACTCATGAATGATGACCGACTGATGGTGGGTTGGAATATTGTGTCGCCTTTAAGCTGGCTCACACTCATTGAAGCAATACATCTGTCACCGCCAGAATCTCCTACCTCGCTGGGATTTGCTTTGTTCGGCCACGTAACGGATAGGAACCCACGTTCTCCCTATTTGACCTGTGGCGTATGACGCGTTAGGCTTCCCACATGCTTTATTGAGCACGTGCCGTCCTTACGATCTTATCCTAGGCCCAACGGTGCTCATGACGAGGACATAAGCGCTGCACGAAGGCCGTAATCACAGACGGACGATGAGAGATGACATTTGAATGTGGTTCGGTGCTTAATAAAAAAAAAACGCACCCAGCTGCCACTTAGGTGAGCACATGGTTTCCATCATCCATATGGGAAGGGCGGGTTCCAGCATCGCGATGCCCATGTTAGCAATGCAGATAGATCCTGCATCAAGGCACACAACAAAACACACACACATCAATAAAAGTCTCACCGAGTCTTAATGCACTTTTTCATGATGGTGATGGTGGTGCATTCCTGTGATCCAGCACTGTCCCTGGCAAGGGCTTTAATTTGCACCCTGGTTTGACAACGATATCCATTGCAGGATAATAAAGCATTGGGACATCATTCTCGCGACCGTGATGTTTTGCATGTGCGTCAAGAAGTACATGTGGCAATCCAGATATAAACAACATATCAATTTATTATTACATTATATCGATTCTCTCTCACACAGAGCAGGCACGAGGCAGGCATTTGGCAAGGGTGGCTGCAGTGCAGAAAACCATTGTTTGATTGACCCTCAGCCCATTTTAGTTCAATGCAATTGTTTAAATATACGAATAAACGACACCCATCTAAACCAGCCACCCCATCCTAAACCCCTCCCTTCTCCCCACCCCCTGTGAAAACAGACGATGTGCCATGCGGCTTACTTCTGCTCGCTCCTTCCTTCTCTCTCGCTCTCTTCCCTCCCCTCTCATCATCCTCTCATCCCCGATAATTTAGCCGGGTCGCTTCTTCTCCCCCCCCTCCGTCCCTCTACCACCGTCCCATTTTTCCATTCCTTTTCCATCCTTTCTTCTTAATTCCCATTCTCTATCCTTCTCATTGCCGTGTCTTTTAATCTTTCCATATATTCTATCATAGACTCAAATCGCCTTCCCATTGTGAGCCACGGGTGGTTTAATGGTAACTAAACATTTTGGTCAGTTACCAATATTTTTTGTAATTATTATTTTTTCATGAAAGTAGCCACGGTGGAGGAGTAATGGGAGAATAAAAATGTTATGCAGTGATTATTTATGAAAAGAGAAACTTCCTATTGTCATAGACAATATAAATCGGAAATACACACTGCCTTAAATTATAACCCTAATACACAAAAATATAACAATAGCCGATTATGTGAATTTTGCACCTGCTTTTGTTGAATATTTCGAAAATATTGTTAAAAACAACAACAACAACAACCTACCATGATTCAGAAATCCCAGTTGAATTTGACCGGAATCCCTATGTATAGTATCATTGAAATTATTTATAATCCAATACCCTCCAGTTTTCATAAATCAATAAAACATTATTTCACGATTTTATCCGCTTTCAATGTGAACCTAAAAATGTATGATCGTGCGAATTCTGTACGCGTGCAGCGAGGGTAAACCCCCACGCACAATCTGCACGGTGCTGTCTGCAATTAACTATGGGAAATGGTGCAGCACTGACCTGCTGTGATGAGTATGTACGGGTCTCGGAGCAGAGTGAGCAGAGGCGTTCCTGTTTGGCTCTGAAAGGGAACACACACCGTCTAAGGGCAAGCATCCCCCATTTGGCAACAATATAAAGTGTCCTGTTAGTGAGCACCTGTTAAAGCCAGCACGGAGCGTGACGTGGCCAGCACCACTCCCGAACGCCTTTGCCTACCGAGTTGATGTTTACAGACCACACCAATCACTCCATTAAGGCTGAGTCAACCTTGGCGATACCCAGCACATATTCTGATCTTATTTAAAACTGTCATCACGTTATCAATGGCCGGGAATCGAACCCGAGGGAGGCCGGGTTGGGTTAGCACCCACGGGGAGATCATGCAGACCTCAAATGTATAGGTGTAAGGGTCAGGATTGAACCCACGACATCCTGTATACCAGGCGAGGGAGATAACATCTCGCCACCTCGTTGCTAAACAACATATGCTAACCACTGCAACCACTGCTCTCTCCGCAACTCCTGTCACCCCCACACTCTGGACATCTGTAAAAAGACCATCATAGCTCATCGGATTCCTCCAGTCTAAATCAAGATTCTGACTCCTCAAGACATACACACAAATATCTGCTTACCCCCTTTGCCGGATTGATGATACAGGTAATTTTTACAAGTACCTATCTATGAATGGCATATATCAAGATTGAATTACATATGGAAATATGTTAAAATCAAGTGATTGCCAATTCCATTACATTTCATTTTAAGCAGGTAAAAGCATTACTTTTTAATGGTTCAAATTTCAACGTGATACATTGTAATTGTTTTGTTCATTACTTTATTGTGTCGTTAATTAATTCACCATTTGCCTTCCAAACATTTTTCATATTCGGGAATTTGAGCAAGATGGAATTATTATAATACAATACAGGATATTTTCTCTGCTAAAAATAGCAAAATCAAATAAAAACTATGGCCATTTTGCAATTATAAAGCTATTGAATTGTCTTAACTGCTTTTACTTCACGCAATAATATGGTTCAGTTTCCGGAATAGATCCTATTTTAGTCATGCTAACCTCACAGAGCTGAGCATCCATATGTCTCGAGCTGCAACCATCTATCATTTGCCTACAATATACAAAGAGTATTAATTTTTAAAAAGATGCTGATTAGACTCCAGCAATTCTAGTTCACCATGTACACTATAAATCATGGTTGTACCCAGGCTGAAATGGGCTAAAACCTCTTGAATAGTTGAAGCCACTTTAACAGGTATGCCACAAAAAATATTTTACACCTCATTCAAAATCGTTTTTATTTTCAGTCGTAAAAATCTCAAATCCAATAAAGCCTTAAGCCCTAATGATAATCACATGCTGCCATGTTCGAAACATGTTTATGACTCTATTACATTTTAATTGTAATCATTTTGAAATTTAACAGATCTGGCAATGCAGCACATTTTCACATTAAACGTGGTGCATATAATTTTGCTGTCTGTGCTCTACAGTACGAAGGCATATATCTCACATTGCTTTGGGAAGCATTTGTAAGAATGTCCCAATGTTAGCTCACTTTGCATTCATTCCTTACTCCTCGAAAAAAAAGGAAAGCATGCGATGATGCTTTAGGGTGAGTTTCAGTAATGATTTGCACAACTAACAGCTGGTGTAGTCTTAAACACACATACGCGTTATATAGTAATGTATTAGGGTTATTTTCAGACTTAAACATTGAGGATTTTTAAGGGCAATTTGTAAACCCTTTTTGGGGGGGTTTTCAGATTTTCTGTTCATTTACATTACGTGAAAATTGAACGTGCCTTCATGCTAACAAAAATTACATCATCCATTGCCACAGTATTTTTGGCAGGAAAAGCATGCACGTGACGGAAAGTATGTTTATTAAACTTCTTTAGCAGCCTATATAGCCAACCGTGATAATTGGAGGTATGGGGAAAGGACAACAAACTAAACACAAAAGGCAGTTCGAAATAAATGTGTTTTCAATATTTAAATTCGTTTTCAATTTATAGATGGTGGTCTCACGTCCTCGTGACACCATGATTTTGGATCAATCTGAAACCCCCCAAAAATATGGTCCTTTCAAATTTCTTATCGAGGCCCCATCTTCAGATTTTTCCAATAAATAAAACAATTGGGAACACATCTCGATGATGTCTCAATGATGTGTATACTACAGCAATGTGTATGCATGCACACAACAACAAACACTTGCTCCGTATGGAATGCAAAAAATTAAAAGCAATATTATTACAAAAATAAATTAAGCATGGCGTAATCATTAAAACATAAAACACAACATGAGTACAGCATTCTAATTCGATTATGTAAGTTAGAAGCACATTTTGCATCATACATTTGTTAAGACTTCTCTTGTGGGCTTAACAAATATACATGTTATTAAAGGGCACCGGTCAACAGGGGGAATTATAAGTGAGAATGTTGCAGGACACACTTGGGCATCGTCATCATCATCAGCCATAGCTATAGATTACCGACGTATGAACTTACTATGTATTTTGATTATAGTGTGCTGCTACTGCTCTTGTTAATCCGGCTGTTATGGATTGACTTATGTAGCTAGCGAAGGACGCTAGGTTTAGTGATGTGTGTTGTGTGTGTCGCTATTGTAAACTTGTAATCACATGTGTTGGGAAAACTGTTACGTTGTTTATATGGCATTGTTTTAGTTAGTTTTAGAGGGGCTTGCTTTGGCCCGATTTTTTATTTAGTATAAATTTAAACTTAAAATTTCGATCTGTATTGTATTATGATTGCTATTGGGATCAAACATCGAAATACAATTTTTTGCACTTTTTATACGCAGCATGGACGGGTTGTGCTTTTTCTGTAGGATTTGATTGTTTACGTATGTGATGTTTATATTTGTGTACAATACATTTTAGGTGTATCTTGTAATTTTATTGTTTGCTGCGGTTGAACCCAAATCAAGAGCCAAATGGCTCACAGGGTAAATCCTAAAAAAATGAAAACTGAAATGATTCATTCACTGCTGGATTTAAGCACCCCCCCGAGCCACCAACATCTTTAATGATTCTGCAATGCAACAAAAACATCGACCACCTGCACACGGACCCATCTCATTGCTCATATCCATGGCGACATCCTCTCGGACGCGTCCCACCCCATGCGTATCTCTCAAACGAATGTTTGTAAAACTTTATACAAAACCTCTGGCTCCGACTTGCTTGGTTGCAACACCAACATCTGTAATGCTGTAAAAAACCAACAATTATAACCTGGAAACATTTTTCCATTAATGCATTTGTTAAATCGGATGCCATTCAGCCACATTGCATGCAAGCTATGCTTATAATGGCACTTTGGCTTAAAACAAAACAGCTTAGTGCTCAGATGAGTGAGGCAGTGCAATATCGTTTTCAGAGCCCTGAGCAAGTGGCAGAAATTCCAAATTAGCATGGTGGGGTCAAGTTAATCGATAGAACAAACAGCTCTTGGCTTCACACATAGCACTACTCGCTTTAGCGATTTCAGAGAGCCACTTTCACCCGTGACATAACTTTTAACTCAAAACCTTCTGATTGCAAGTCACACATTCTGACCACTGCGTAAAATTACTGACATCATTATGTCATCGGAAGGGATGCATGGCACGTGATGTCTTCTCGTTTAAAACGTATTTATTTTAAATATAAACGCATTTGAGGGGCCTAGAACCCCTGGAGGTAAGCCTTCCTTGCCTGGATTTTCTACCCGAGTCCCCAGTGCATCTCTGTGCATGGTGACCCCGGGATAGGAGCAAGAAGCCCGTCAACATCATCAGCCGTGGTCACGTGCCATCATCGCAATGGGCCACGATGCTAATGTCATTCGTGATGAGGTTCTTCCCCTGAGTTTTGGCAAAACTTTGGACAATCTATAGAGTCCTCAATAGCAACACAACTTCATAATAAGCCCTTATATACGTAACGTTTTCTGTATGAGAGTTATCGTGACTCCACGGCACAGATAGGGGAGATGGATGGTCTGATGGACAGATGGACAGATAGAGAAAGCTAATACACCGACACTTTCAACCTCAGTTGGAAAGTGTACAACATTGGAGCACAATACAATTGATTATTGAATCAAATCCCAGCCAAGAATCACGAATCGCAGGTAAATTTGGGCGAGTCATTATATGTCTAGCGGCAACATATCTGTTGGGTGCAGTGGCTCCGCGAAGTGGCATGGGGGCATTCGTGTGAGTGCGGAGAGGTTTTCTTGCCTCCATCAAAGAGGGCCAGGCCAGCAAGCACCAAGAACGGGGCAGGCTTTCCCACAAAGTCGTACATGATGCTGCCAAACGGTGGTCCCACTGCAACACGGTGACCATGTTAATTAAGTTGAACCAACGCAGCACGTACAGCATACATACACAGAGATACCAGCGCTTGACATGGCATAAATGATGTCAAAGCGGTGAACGGCTCAAGTAGTACATAGAAACGTATTAAATAACACATTCACTTAGTCTAGGAAAGCTTCACTCAGTTTCAAGACTTTTTTTTCAGCAGGGTCCCGCTGCACCGGAATGTTTGGTTGATTATGTTATTTAGCAGTCGTCACGTGCGAGGAAACCGGATTCTTGCAATTTTCTTCCTGATGGGGAACCACTTTTGTGAAAAAAATTTGTAAAATTTAATAAAAATAAATAGCAAAACAAATCTAGAAATATCAACATTCATCTTTTGGTCTATCTATCGATCTACAGTACAGCACTACCAATACTTATTAACCTGGGATGGTGCTGATGACTGCACATTAGCCATTCATTAATAGGGATTCCTTGCATTGCAATGAATGGACGGCATTTGGCCGGCATTTGGCCTGTGAATGCTGAATCCAGAGGGCTTTGATCTTACCCAGAACTCCCATAGCGAGACCTCCCAGCGCCACACCCATCGCATTGCCTCTCTCCTCGTCATCCGGGTACAGGCTGGCCAGCATGCCCATTCCTGGCAGAACGAGCAGGTCAAAGAGTCGATCCCAACACAAATAACAACATTAACAACAACAGCCATTCGCCACTAAGTGACAGTCATGTCACCACGGCGCTTGTGCCAGGCTATGTTCACTTGAAGACCGCGTGAAGTGTCGAACGCCCGCTGGCAGGTCACCGGACAGACCCCTGTGCCATGGGTTGCCGAACTAAGATGACTGGCGGATGCACCAGCCGTGCCCGCTACTGCGCCAATTTGCTGTGTTTTAGCTGCCCGGCGCTCCTCACAAATGCCCCCTCTCTCACACGCGGTGGTACTCAAACACAGGGTCGCATTGGCACGGAGGCTTTAGGGACATTAGGGGCTGCAACACAGGGCCTCGAATTTTGAGAGGCTTCCAAAAAAATATATGCACCCTACGTTCTAAATTGTTGAAATGCAATAGTGTGGCACGATGATACATCCTAAAGTGTAATGTAAAAATTAAAGCCACAAATTTACAACCAGCTATGGGCTAAATTGAAAATGGTGCTGTTAAATTTTATTTTGCTTTAGCTTTACAATTCGTACATCACATTTAAACAACTAGAATAACAAACTTGATTTGGAGCTTTCGTGACTACAGGAATTACTCTATGGTTCTTTCGGTAAAGTCACGTAGAAAGAAAAAATAAATTAAAAAATAGCATACGACGTTTCGATTACAACACAAGCAATCATCATCGGGTACAAATGAAAGAGAAAACAAATCTAGTAAACTTAGAAATATAATGCAATACAGCGCAGAGAGTCGGCTAACATCAATCAACCAGGTAGGGTGTTGGCTGTTATGTTAGCCGACTCTCTCTATTGCATTGCATTATATTTCTAAGTTTACTAGGTTTGTTTTCTCTGTCATTTGTACCTGATGATGATTGCTTGTGTTGCAATCGAAACGTCGTATGCTATTTATTTTTATTTTCTTTCTACGTGACTTTTACCGAAAGAACCAAAGAGTAACTCGAATAACAATGACGTCTTTGGCTTTGGGCATAAGTGGTGGTGAAACAGTCAAGGCATTGAATCGAATATGCAAGAGGGGCCCCCCAAAACTATAATATCCCAGAGACACATACAACTATATCCAGACCTGCCCACGCATCATGGTTTTCACTTATCTACTTAATAATAATAATAGAAGACAATTTATGCTCCTTTATCAATCCACTGTTGGATGGAGGAATCCCAATGGTATTGGTGGGGAGTGTGCAGGTGGTGCAGCTGCACCAGGGCCATGAGTTAGAGGGGCCGAGGCGCTGGGTTACGGAGAGTCAAAAATTGTAAAGTGGGTCCCATTACATTCCTTCCACCAGGACCCATGCCAACTATCCTACCACGCAACCTCTCCATGCTGTCCGGTCGTGAGGGTAATCACACCATACTTCTTCACCACAGTTTTTTAGTGTGAGTTTGTGAAAGGTGCCCAGGATCCATTAAAATATTACTGTTCACTGATGTTAGCCATGGTTGGGCCGCTGGGTTGTACAAACCCAGCAGCAACCTCAGCTAATTCTTTGGGGGTAATTTTTTTGTTTGGGTCACCGGAATCTCTCAATTTCCATCAGTTGAGCTCATCTCCAACTTCCAAAAATTGTAGAATCTCACCGGCCACGGAGGAGCAGGAGGATCCGATGCCTTGCAGAGCTCGAGCCAGGAACAACAGCGGGTAGCTCTGAGCGAACGCGAACACTGCACGCCCGGGGTGAAGCGGCACAAACAACAATCAGAGGTGAATCAGGCCACAATTGTCACGGTGCATTTTCGTTTTGCTGTCTTATTCCGACTGTGCTTTCGGTTTCACGTCATGGGACACAGTTTGCACTTGAATCTCGCGCGGTGAAGTGCAACGACATGTGTAAGAGAACGGCTTGCAGGAGCGATCTCTTTAAGTGACCACGGGTCCACATAATAGGGAGCAGCACCTTCACACCCGGCCTGCGACTGAAAGTAATGCTCATTGCAAGAGAGTCAGAGCAACGTGGTTAATTCTCGGAGGTGGAATTTAGCCAAATGAAGTACGGAGCCAAATGTCAAGTGAGGTTTTTTTTGTTCATGTTGTTCAGTCATTTAGTGACCAGACTGAACCCATCGATTCCCTACTCTTGAGAACCCAGTTTAATAACAGGCAGTGGCTGCCTGGATTCGAGTCCAGGTTTCCATGGGTGACAAGAAACGGCATTCCAGTCGTGGGCTGAGCTCAGGGAGAGCTGACTCGAGCACCATCCTGCGGCGGGGAAAGGAGGCGGTGCACGCGTTTTCAGCCGAGCCCAAAACAGCCAAGAATTTGCTGTCCCTGTCTTGCGGAGGGGGGGTGGGGGGCTGTTTCAACCCTAGCACATGGGCGAGAAGCCGTGCATGTGTGACGAGTGCGGCAAGACGTTTTTCTCGCGCTCGGCCTACGAGTATATATATTTTTCTATTCTGCTTGTGTGTTAATCTGTGTATACCCCGGATATTTTAAAGATGGCAATTATCCTGCTGTATATCATACTGCTGTCCCTCCCGGCCATATCTAGTGCCACACTCAACTCTACAAACAGCTACCCTCGTTACTTTGCGTCCATACTTGTTGCTCGATTTGCCACTACACCTGCAAATGAAACAGCTCATAGACACTTCTACACTCCATCATTGTATCCTTTCAAACCCTATCTTTGTCCCATTACTTCCCCAGCACTCCTTCCAAACTTCATTCTGCTCTTAAAAATAACACTATCTGCGAGCTGCTGCTATTCGTCCAAGGTTCGCAGCTCTTCATCCTTTCACAGAAAATACTTGTGCAAACCATTAATTCTACTTTTCTTATTTCTGGGTGGTATTGAGCTTCATCCTGGCCCAAATGAAAATAACTCGCATAATTCTGTAGATTTTTCTGGCAGGAAAGGTGTTGGTGTTCTACATGTCAACATCAGAGGGCTTGTGATTAAATTATGTCAACTAAAACTAGAAGTGGCAAATCTTGACCCGGACATTTTTTGCCTAACAGAAACATTTCTCACTTCTGCCGTCAATGACTTTCAGATACCATTGACAACTACAACCTTTTTCGGCTTGACCGAAGATCTAAAGGAGGTGAAATTGTTCACCAGCTCACTCCTTGTTTATCAAATGTTGCTTTGAAGGTTTGGCTCTCAGAATAACTCTCCCAAATAATCAACAGATATTGGTAGTGTGCTGCTATAGACCGCCTAGTGGGAAGGATGTTGAAGCTGCATCGGCACTGAGAGAGCTTTTTGGGGGCCTCCCTAAAGGTGAAATAGTTTTAGTGGGTGATTTAAATTGGAATTGGCTAAACCCGCCGGCCGTGGCCACAAATTTTACAGATGAATTTAACCTGTTTAAATTAACAAATGTCCCCACAAGACCAAACCTAAAAAATCCTGGACAGTCAACTCTGCTTGACGTCCTATTGATAAATGCCCCTCACAATTTCGCACTGACTGGTGTTCTGGGTAATAACCTTAGTGATCACTCCTTTATTTTTGGGGTGAGATCATCAGACAAACCCAAAGCCCCCCTAAAATTGTTGAGAAGCACTCTTTGAGGCACTTCAGCACTCAGGCATTTACTAATGATGTGCTTTACTCGGATATTGAGAAGGTCTGTGATATCCCAAACCTGACTACGGCTTGGGAGACTTTCAGGTACACGTTTCTCCAAATTCTTAACAAACATGCTCCGTTGGTTAGATTTAAATCTAAAGGCAACCGCCCACCATGGTATGATCCTTTGATTTCAAAGCTCATGAAAACTAGGGACAAGGCTTGGGCATGTGCTCAGAAAAGTAATATGGTAAATGACTGGCTAGAATACAGGATTTTAAGGAATAGATGCGTAAAAAAAATACGGCATGCAAAAAATGCCTACTTTTCCTCCACTCTCCTGGAATCACATGGAAATGCCAGGATTTTTTGGAAAACAATCAAATGTATCGAAAAGGCATCCAAAACAGACAATCTGCCCGTTGAGCTTAACCGAAATGGGGAATATTTTTCAGATCCCCAAAAAATTGTTGACAATTTTAACCTTCATTTTTCTGAAGCTGGTAATCTTTTTGATAATGTATTGGGAGTCACCCCTGCTCATGCAAATTCCGACACCCCTGTCCAAACATTAAACGAATTTAGTTTCCAGCCAATCCACGAAAGTAATGTTCTGAAACAACTGTCCTACTTCAAAGGGTCCTCCTCTACCGGAGCAGATAGTTTTCCCGTCTTTGCTCTACTAACTGTTGGTCACCTAATATACAAACCTATAGCCCATATTTTCAACCTGTCCATCAAAGAAGCATCAGTTCCTCTAGAATGGAAACATTCCTATGTCCGTCCACTTCACAAAGGGGGCCCTAAAGATGATCCAAATAACTACCGACCTATCTCAATTTTGTCCCCATTGATGGAAATTTTAGAAAAATTATTGAATTAACAAATTAGCAGTTTCCTGTCCACCAACAATCTACTACATCTAAATCAATCTGGGTTCCGAAAAAAATACAGCACCACATCTGCTGCATTAGACTCTCTGAATCAAATTTACAGTAGCCTTGATAATAAGCAGTACTGTGCCTGTCTTTTTCTTGACCTGTCCAACGCTTTTGATACAGTAGACCACAACACTCTGCTTAGTAAACTAAGTTGCCTCGGTTTTTCCGAAAACACAGTACAATGGTTACAAAAATTACCTCTTTTCTCGCACCCAAACTGTATTCACAGATGGTTGGAGGTCAAACAGTGTTAAGATAACAAAAGGGGTTCCATCCTCGGCCCCCTCTTGTTCTCTCTTTTGCAGATGACACGATACTGATTACTGCTGGCCGCTCTCCGGATGACGTGATTGCTAAGCTCCAGGGTGATTTCAACAAACTACAACATCAGCTAATTGCTCTTAAACTAGTCCTGAATACCTCCAAAACCAAGGTGCTATGCTTCTCACCGGGACTAAAGCAGGAAGTTATTTTTCCCCAATTACATTCCTTAAATAATTATAAAATAGAGCAAGTCAAGATCTATAAGTATCTTGGGGTCATCCTGGATTCAAAACTGAATTTTGAAAATCACATTGATTATATTGGTAAAAAGACAAAAATAAAAATTGGTTTTCTGTATCGACACAAGCACTGCTTCCCCCCAATGTTCCGTTTGGAATTGGTAAAAGCTACTATACTGCCTCTACTTGACTACTATGACATCTTCTTAGTTTTTTCGGTAAAGTCACGTTGAAGAGAAACAACAAAATAACAAAATATAAATATTTTTTATAATATAAATATTTACCGAAAAAACTAAGAATATGAATTACTGCAGTCACGAAAGCTTTAAATCAAAATTTACTATGACATCGTGTATAAATCAGCCCCAAGTACTGTACTGAAGAAGCTTGATTCCATCTATCACTCGGCCTCAAGATTTGCATTGAACTGCCCATATAGGACTCACCACTGTGATCTTTACAATGGGTCAAACTTAACATCTCTTAATGTTCAACGGCTTGTGCACCAGATCTTATTTATTCACGATGTACTTACAAAAAAAATCCGCAGACTACCTACTGGATCTCCTCTCTGTTTCAAAGAACAAATTTGACCTCAGGTCTTCGCTCATTTACCAGCTTCACATTCCCTATTGCCGTACAAAAACCGGAGGAAGGGCCTTTGCTATTGATGCCCCCAGGGTCTGGAATGCTATTGCCAATAAACTGCAACTTGTAGCACTACCTATGAGATCTTCACTCAAAACTGCTCTAGAGGAGTTGTACACCCCTAGCTGCCACTGCTATTCAGTGGCCTAAAATATGGCTCTAGGGTTTGGTGTTACATGTTATTTATGTAGTTTATTGTTAAAAATTCGGTCACAGTCCCTATGATCACTGTTACATTGCATTTATGGCTTTTATTTTGGTGATTTGGAAAAGTTTTTTTGGTTTGGCCATGTTTTTGTTTATTGTAGTACGGAGTTAGACTGATTGCCTTAATCTTAGTTGTTTTGTGGTTGTTGTTGTTGTTTGACTTGCATCCCACTGGGATTTTTGCACACAGAGTTGGTGTACGGTGCTATTTCAGGAATGTTTTGATGTTTTTTTTCCTGGATTATCTGTTTGCACAGTCACACGTAGTCACTTGAAGATGTTTTCTTGTTCATATTTTTGTTTTTTGTTTGTTGCGGTTGCACCCGATTCAAGAGCCGAATGGCTCACAGGGCTATCCCAAATAAATGGAACTAAATGGATCTAAATCTGAAGCGCATTGAACCTCTCAGCCACCCAGCCCACATCCTGAGTCAGGCCACACTTAACAACACGCACACAGCCAGAGGCTTGCGGGTGCTCAGCGCGATATCATCGACTGTCCTCGACACAGACACGATCGACCCAACTTCAGATTGCGTATCCAGCTCTATGAAAAAAGAAGACTGATCTAATTTCCTCTACGGGAGATGCATTTCAGATTAATTGAGGTCAGCGAAGTTCACGGTGCAAAAAACAAAATCCGATAGCATCTATTTGGACTGCAATCATTTGATGTTTAGAGCGTGTTTAGAAGCATCCCACAGGATTCCACCAATGTTCTTGTATGATGATATAAACCACAATGTCATCGTCGTTTATGTTTTATATACAGCCTCGATGCCTGTGTGGAAGGTCGTGAGAGGATTCTACAGAATTAAACAGTTAAAACTTTCACATTTATTGAAAGCCTGCCTCATCAGTATGATCATTTCCATGAGCATCCCATGACGCATGCATGCGCCTCGTTGTGTCGAGCCACTTGCTAGGCTGAATAACTAGAAGACCAACAACAAAAACCGAGCACTCCAAAAAAAAAACACACACTCACACACTTGGAATAAATTGTAAGCTTTGTGAGCATCTGAAACCACAATCGAATTACAAAAGTGGAGGTGCACGCCGAATGTTTGTTGCGCTGTGCATTCGCTGAGAAGGTCACGTGGGTGGATGCCAGTTGCTAATAATTGAAACAAGGTCGATGATTTTCACAGCATTTCCACCCCCCCCCTCCCCCCCCCCCACATTAAACCATAATCTGCGCCGTAATTGGGGACAATTTGCGCAAACTAAAGCCAAGCTGTCGGATCTCTTTGTGTCTGCGTGGCAGACAAACGCCAACGGGCGGAAACGGGTTCTTTTTTTTTCTGCTACCAAAAAAAAAGAAAATTGTCGACAGGGGGTCCGCTGAATAGAAGGGCGATGGCGGATTTCTCCCAGCAGCCAAGATGTCCATCGAAGACGATCCTTGCGGGCAAAAGGGGTGCAGTCCAAATGGATATTAACTGGTTGGTTTGTTTATTTATAAATGTATTGGTGTGGGGTTTTTATGTTTTTTTTTTTGGGGGGGGGGGGGGGGAGGGGGGGGGGCTTCTCGTGAGCCCGTGCTTGAATTGTGTGCCTTTGTGCTGTCACTTACTGATCGTTGAAAGGAACATGATGATGAAGCCAGCAAACATAGGCGAGTGGTATCCCACCCTGCAAGGGCACAGTACATTCGAGGTGCGAGATTTGGTTGTTTTTCCAGGTGATTGACCACGATCACACACATGCCTCCATGCAATCAAAAAGCCCGCACAATTTGGAAGCGAAACTCTTATAAACAATATGCAGTATCTGCGTAATATGTATTTTAAATGCTTACAGCTAATTCTGACTGAATGTAAGCAGAGACCTATGGTATTCACCATGTCCTACAGTATGTGTTAACTATTACCTTTGACCTATGTAAAAAAAAACAAATCTGTGACAGAAATTATTCTGTATGCAATAATATTCACGACATATCAACATTATTTATTGCATGCCTTAAATACTCTTCACAATGCAACCGTTTGTAAACATATTAACACTTTTATATATGACGAATAAATGGCATTAATCACTAGATAAAAGTATTACGAATAAGAAATTGGCCAAACATTTCAGAGAGGACTCTCCTGCGAAAGTCTGGACTCTGTTTGTCTTGGAAAATAAAGTTGTATTATAAACGTTTACAGGACACAAAATAGCAACTACAGTGGAATAAACAAACACTACTTTGTGGGCGGCAGAGAGCTGTGGAGCAAAATCCATTGTGTTGTACTTCTACGGTGGTGTAGTGGTTAATGGCATGCCCTTTGAACCTGGGCATCTGGGTTCAAATCCTGCTGATGGCTAACATGAGTGGCAAGTGATACCTGAACCAGTCCTTGGCCTCCTCTAGGTCGACTTATCCATAAATGAGTACCTGGTGCGGTGTGTAAACATCAGCACTCGGGAGACAAAGGTGGCTGTGCATGGTGTTGCCCACACCGTGCAGGTATATATCGGTACTCGCTAATAGGACTTTTATTAAATTAATTTTAAAAATAATTGCTACTTTGCTCATGCACCACGGATCTCCCTTGTAAAAGAGCCAGGAAACTGGCTGAACCCGATGGAACAAATCAAATCCATTATAGTAATGAGATTTCATATGATTGTGGATGAGGTTTCCAAACTGCAGCAATTGGTTACAAGTACATTATTTAATTTAAACAAAAAACACCGTTAAATATTGTGGCAAAATAAATATTGTGCACAATTGAAGCAAAAACTCTGAATAGTTTGGTTTGCTCATATACATCACACGGTTCATAACACACCCAGTGAATACGCTATATTGAACCTCGCAAACAATTTACAGTACCTTGATCCAATGAATAAGAATATTTAGCACTGCAAAAGCAATCACTTTTAAAAGGAAAAAAATATATTCGGCAATAACACAGCCTTCGATTATTTGTTTTAATAGGTGACGTTTCGGGCAGTCGTCCTTCTTCACAGCACATACACATCAATGACCAGATTTTAAATAGGCTTACACATAGACATCTAATAAAGGCTATTGAGTAATCGACCACCACTTCTATAATCAAACACTCTAACTAAATAGACACATTTATATTAAAAGTAAAATTCTAAAAATGCTTCTGGCATATTGCATTTTACTTATATGCAGTGACAAAGCCACAAACTAGACCCGGGGTAATCCAGTCTCGGGTGAAGCGTGCAGGTGGATTAATTGACAATTGGAATGCGAAGACAAACACCTAATAATGCACCAGCGCTGGGTTCTGGGCAAAGCCAAGCTCTCCTGGGAAGCTGCATGGACTCCATGTGCCCGTCTGATGGAGAAACCTCTTGAGCAATGAAGTCACTGCCATCGCATCCTCGGGACCATTACTCCACCGGCCCACGGCGGCCTGAGACTTGAAACCCCGAGGTTGTGTCAGTAAGTTTAACCCGCCCCGGAGATGCAAGCCACCGCTGAATTTAAAGTGAGCAGGTGTAAAAGAGAGGGTAAAGGTGCAGCCCTGCAATTTCTTTACTCATACCACTGCTGATGGAAGGGCCTCCCACTAGAGCAGTGGTTCTTAAACTTTACTGTAGCCTTGCACCCCTTTGGTTCTCAATCGTGAAACACGTGCAATGTAAATACATCCACAAGTTTGATTAAACAAAGTAGTTGTACTAACGTGCCCGTGCTTAATTTGTGTTTCGATGGTTTACCTTCTAAATAAAATCTGGCCACGTCTCGCACCCCCACGGGGGTGTGCGTGCACCCCAGGTTAAGAAGCACTGTTCTAGAGGGTATGTTGGCCCACGTCTCCAAACTGGGCACACATCGTGGAAGAGGCGGGAGTATCCAAATTTGACTCCACCGCACGTGACCTGCAGACCAATGAACTTTGGTCTACCCATTTTTACTGCTGGGTGGACAGAGATGGGAGGATTAATGTAATTGAACGTTCCCATTATTTTGGATGGCAGGTTCAGTGTGCTAGGCATGACACCACAGCAATATCCCTCAAATAATAATAATAAATACTGCAATGAATGTTTTAAACAAATGGTCAGAGACTTTAATGGGATGCTATTCATAAGCTCACGTTTACACACATAGTAGGAAGCTGTGTTTGTTTAAAATGGCAGTTCAAGTCCTCCTTGGATGTAATTTGGGATAAATATAGAGTTGCAGATGTGTGCATGTGTTCCGCAGTGCATTTAGATTTGTGATGGAATAAAAAGTTAATGGAAACTGCAATGGCATAGTGGTCTCACTTTACCCATAATCCAAATCCTGGACAGGCACGCCAATAGCAATTGAAACCCGAACTTGTCCTAGCCTACCTCAGGTCAACTCCAATATGAGCACTTAGCATTGCACAAACACAAGGTGGTACTAGAACCACAACCCCTTTGTGAAATGTGATGCTTAATAACGGCACTTTATTGCAGCCCTCTGTAAACCGCTTACTGGATGAAGGCCTCCCCCACGCCACGATGGTCATGGGTGTTGTTTGACCATACTTCACCTTGCTGGTTAATGCATGGTGGTAAAGTGGGGCCGGGTACCACTCAAGATGTGTCTTGCAACGGACTTCAGCCCCTGGTCGGGAATCGAACTCAGGTTCCGGGATTCGTAGTGGAGTGTGTTAACCACTGCACTTCAGCTACAACATGCACATGTCCAGCTCATGTTGTCAATCCACTGCTGGATGAGGGTCTTCCCACGCCATACTTCCCCACGTCGGTCAGTACAGGTTGGTGAATATGGGGGAGTAGAGACGTGGTAGCATAGAAACACAGCACAACAATGCATTTTGCCGCGTCCAAATTTATCTCCAGGCGCAGCAGTTGAAACAATGTTACAGGTTTCTTAAATCCTCCCATCTCTGTCCTCCCAACGGTATACATGAGCACACATAATTATTATTTGATCATCAGGACATGTATAATGGCGTCAGGTGTGGGTATTCCCACCTATTCCAAGACATCTGGATTAGATGTCTGGATGACTCTCTAGATCTCCCTCAATCGGAGGCCCTTCCACCAGCAGTGGCGTGGGCACGAAATTGCAGGGCTGCACCTTAAAAAAAAACCAACAACACCATTGACCGCAGTGACATTCGTCGTTGGCGTCTTTGTCGTTGTGCATCACCTGTTTGTCAGGGGGCCGATGAAGGGATTCGCGAGAAGCTGCACTGTGGCCTTGGCAGCGAAGAGCAGGCCGACTCGCACGTTCTCGTTGAGCAGGGCCGCGACGTCCATGTCGCACAACGAGTCGTTCAACGCACTGCCGCCCGGGTTCGACCCCGTGCTGCGGTGGTGCCGGGAGCGTCGCCTGCTGCAGGGGTCCGGCGTCGGGGAACCCGGGCTAGGGCTGGGTTCCTGGGGCTCCTGCGACCCCTCCTGACCCCCCTGGGCCTGGCTGGGGCCACCGTCGTCCGTGGCTGTGGCCGCGTGCGGAGCGGCGATTGGAGCGAGCAGCTGCCCGCTGTCGTTCCGCGGATGCTCGTCTGGATGCTCGATGGCGTACAGGTAGCTGGGGACAATTGGCACTGCGGAGGGAGGAGGGGAACTATTATTGTTCTGTCACTCCTCGGAATTAAAGTTTCACGTCGGACATGGTGAGATGAGTGCAGTGGTGTCGTGGTGTTGGCGTGAACCCTGGTGCAGCGTGCCTCATATTGAAGTATTTTCCTCTTCATTAACAATGTTTTCAGATGTTTGTCTGACAGCCTCAGACACTCAGCCTTAGTACGAGTTTATATGTCGGACTTCATCTTTCTCTGAGGAATGTCTTGGCGACTGGTTATTAAAGCCATGACTGGCACAAAATCACTTTACACATTTTATATTTTTTGACATATGTATCATATGCAAATTAAAAAAATGATGTATTATTCTTTTTAAGAATACAATACAATTTGGATTGATCTCGTATTTAAATGCATCTGTATCTCAATGTCCTGAAACAGGATAACTTGCCCTGAACTTCTTACGGAGTAAAGTCGCTCGTACGCAAAGCCTCTTTCAGTGGCCACTATGCATGCCGCCTCTACTTAATGCAGCTCGCATTATTTTTGCTTGGTGTACGTGGGGCAGGTGAGCTCTGAGCTCGGCCTTGGAACGTTCAAACAGCGACGCGTCTTTTCAATACCACCTTATTGTGCTCCTCTGCTCAGTGTGATGCAGCTGTGCCTCAGCCTAATGAATAAAGATGTAAAGATGTATTGATCCAATGCAAGGCATTGTATTTACATTTTACCAATATATCAAGAACAACTCCAAACAAGATGCACCACCAAGATATATGCTATTGTTAGCTGTCAAACGTGTCTTAAAATAATATATCAATCCACTGCTGATTGATGGCCTCCCCACTGTGTGTGGATCATGGGGGTTGTTTGACCATATATCACCGCACTGGTCAGTGCAGATCGGTGAAAAAGGGGACTCAGGACCAGTCCACTGGCCACTGATGCTAGCCGTGGCCAGGAATGAAACTCCAGGTAGCTGGGTGCACAGAGGGATCAGTATTATGACGATGAATCGCCCCACCTACCCACGACGGTGAGTAGCATGTTGTCAAGCAGCAGCGCCACGAACACGATGAGCAGAACGAACTTGCGGGAGCGGCGACTCTCTTGCAGTGGACCTAAAGAGGTTAGCTTGCCAAGGCACTCCATTATATTCTGGTCCAGACCAGACCAGGTCAAATCCCAGCGCCAGAGCTTGGTCAATCCAACAAATTGCTTCCAGCAAAGGTCGGCCCTTGAAAACCTACACCAGTGCAACCGTCACAACTCATCTAAGCTGAAGCAATACCGGAGGCTTGTTTATTTGCACAATTCACAGCTCGATATACATGCAATGTCTGCACTTCATATAGGGTCATTCATTGGAAAATAACCAACAGATGTAATTTTTCATGTTTTTATTATAATTGAATAAGAGCCCGATACGGAGCACAAACCGCAATGTAAGGGAGCGGGGGGACTACTGATTTCTAATGACCGATTTACTTTCTACTCAACAGGTGACCGAATATTGTTGAAGCCATGGACCTCCGTATCTTACAGAAGACTGCATACTTATATAGCGATTGGTGAGAGACATGTGGACGCTCTGAATTAAAATGTTGCTTTATCTCGAATTTACCCCTATTATATTTGTGGCGCATGTATACATAGATCATCACCCTGTATTGTATAGCTAATTCAATTTTCCTATGAGCAAATCAACTTAAAAGTGCCAGATCATGTCAGTTATCAGAAGCTAAGCAGGGTTGTACCTTGTTTCTTTTTTACTTAGTAGGGCGACTGACTCGGGATTTAACAGGTGTTATAGGCTTGGGTTGCGAGGTAGCCAAAAGATGGCAGTGCCGCAACATATATACATATACATATGTATGTTGAAGTTCTTTCGCACAGTACGTAGCCAACCATGCTAATCGGAGATCAATTTGCTAACTGTTATCCTCTGACATGCGTGGGTTGTCTCCAGGTACTCTAATTTTTTTAACCATATGCCGAACACATTTGTAGAATTGGCCTGAAAGGAATCTCATGAAAGAACAGTCTTGAGACTCAAGCTTTCCTGGATAAGCAAATTATAGTATTAATATGAATGAATACATCGAGTAAATGCACTCGAAACATATATTCGCATAATATAAACGGTATACATTAAACTGGTTTAATTAGCTCTGACATTAAGCTCTTATGCTTATGTGCAACTACGAGTGAAAGTGCATTTGTTTGCAAACAATATTTTAACGCACCAAAATTGTTCAAATAAATATAGCCATTCTAACTTTAGGTAAACATTTGCGTGATGCCTACACTTAATATGGCATGCCACTGCGCTAATGCCATTAAAAATACTTAAAAGTATAATGAAACGACATTTGGAAATTACTTACATACTCTGAATGGAACACTTGCAATTGCAAACCACGACGTGCTTTGAAATAATACACGCCGAAGAAATTTTTTTTGCTAAAAGTACATTCACGTAAAACTAGGTGTGATGTCAAATTACAAAAGACACAATCACGCACCGCCAGGAAGTTGCTGTAACGGAGAAGTTTCCAACGCTAGCGCAACGTCCAGAGGTTGTCACACGCAGCGACTCCGCACGGGGAAGACTGATGCCCGCTAATACGCCCTGCAACGAATACGGCAGCAGTCAGCCCTCGCCGTGTACCCTGTGACTATCCCACAGCCGGAGGCGCGCACGCATGCATGACCCTTCCCATCCGTGCGTGGGAGCAGAGTAGGAGGAGGAGTAGGCGGAGTAGGAGGTGATGGCGATGATGGGCGGGGGACAGGAGGTGCATCTGTTTCATGAAGTCAAAGATTAATCGGGTTGGCTGCGTGTGTCTTTGTACAGGTGGTTTTTTTTCCAGCCTGAAGTTTTTTTCGTTGTCCATCGACCGCAGACCGATTGTGTGAATATATAGAAAAGTACGGCTATTGACATACAGGCGCAGACACACCACAATGATCTTCTCTATGTCATGAATCTCTGCACCTGCACCGTGGTACAACAAAGGTTGTTCTCTGCATGCACATGTGAGAGGTTATATAAAGTATTGCATAATAACAGAGGATATAGCCCTTATAAATTGCTATGTAAGTTATAATTTCCGTATCACCTTTATATATATATTTGTCGATGCATCATCCACTCATTACAATGTGATAATAACCTTTGCAGTAGTTCATATAATAATCATCATTCCGAGAACCCGGACATTCATTGTAGGCAAGAGGCTGTGTCATTAATAAGAGGCTGTTGCGTAGCTCGGGAAGTTCACAATGTCGCTGTCACATTACTTGGCAAATAACAGCCGAGTACCTGCTTAGTTTAAACGAGGTACTCAACTCAAATCTTTCTAATGCTTCCTCGGGTCGACGTTTCGCTACACGTGCTGGGAACTCCGAGTTCCCGAGAAGCTCCCAGCGGGTGGCGCGAAACGTCGGGCATCGTGCCCCCAACAATACGCGGTTACAACTAGAGAACACATCGGAGAGCAACACAGCAGCAGAACAACCGCGAGAAAGACAACATCTTACGAATAATTTAGTTTACATCTCACTCAACAGGTAGGAGCAACATATTAACTCATTCACACGCAGCTAAAAAGATCGCAGTCGAAAGAGTATGGTAAGACAGCAGGTCCTTGAAGGATGTCGTGGGAAAGTTTATGCTTTCATTTCTTGCCGCCGTGGCTTCTGCGGGATTATCCACAAATAACCAATCTTCTGATCGCATAGCTGTTGAAGGTACATTCGGCGTGTGCAGTAATTGTTTATTAAATGAAAAGAGAGGCGCATGCAGACACGTGCTGTGCAGTGGCTTTGATTGGCTCTGTGTTCTCACAGAAGGCACTTTCTCCTTGCGTTGAGGTCTGCATGTTACCCCCCAGGTGCCTGTGAAAAACAAACTGGCGGTTTCTATAGGTTGTGTGTGTTGATATAAACGAAGCACTGCAGTGATGGTGTAGCATTCGCCATAGCACATGAATAAAAACAACAATTGGCTCTTCCACAGGTATAAACTACTGAACAAATGTAAAGTTTAAATACCAGAGTATTGCCTAAGCTCTTGTCCCCTGTTAATTTTCTATGATCTTCTTTTTAAAGTATTAATACTGCAAAAAAAGTCAAACAAACCTGGTATTTGTAAAGCTATACCCACATACGGTATAGTCCTATGCGAGTATACTCAACAGTTATAGCTATTGAAAAGTATTCATGATAAACACGGTATTTATAACGTGAATAAATCGTGATATTATTCATATTAATGTATACTTATGCATGTTAAATCTATAAAGGTGAACTCTCGTGACGGGTTTATGTTTGATTTTAAGTTATTCCTGCCCGCGCACCAATTAATGATATTGTTTTGATTTAAAGCGTTCATGACTTCAGGGATTCATATTCTTGTTTTTTTTTCGATAAAGTCACGTAGAAGGGAAACAATAAAATAATACAAATATAAAACAATAAAATTCTCACGACGTTTCGACTGCAACACAAGCAATCATCAGGTGTGAAAACCACTGCAAGAAAATTTAAAAAAGTGGCGTTTTTTAACCATCAGGTCTCTTTTTTATTAGGACATCCAAAAAATGTAATTTGCCATCTTTTTCGACTTACATGGTAAATCTGATGACTGGGTGTATGGAATTGATGTGGTTGAGGAATTGGTCTAGAGCAGGCCGACCATGTGGCCAGATGACAAAAGTGTCATCCACGTACCTCTTCCATAAGGTTGGGTGCAGAGTGGCAGTCTGGATGGCGTCAGTTTCAAATTTCTCCTGATGGTTCAATGAGCCACTCTGTCTACAGGAAAGCTACCCATACGGATGCTTACCTGAAACCGGATTCCCACCACCATCCATCCCAGAAGAATTCCCTCATCAAGACTCTGCACCATAGAGCCCAATGCATATCCGACCAGGAACACATAGCCAGTGAACTCAAGCACGTACACCAAGCTCTTAAGGCTAATGGTTACTCCGACTACAAAATCCGCAAAGCTATCACTCCAACCATGAAGAAGGACCCTCTTGAAGAGCCTTTTAAAACCATAATTTTACCCTACATTGCGGGGATCACAAAAAAGATCTCCAAAATCTTGAATAAACACAAGATCCAGGTCCGATTCAACACATTACATAAAATCCGTGATCTGGTTCCGTCTGTAAAAGATGTGATTCCGGACATACAGTACCCTGGCGTCTACAAACTAAGTTGCCTCTGTGGTAGTAGTTACATTGGAGAAACCAAACGACATGTCTCGGACCGCATTCGTGAACACAAAGCAGACCTAAAACACGGTAGGACCAACACCTCGGCCGTGGCAGATCACTGTTATAATTCAGTAGACTCACATGACATTGACTTCTCCAAGACAGAGGTTCTTTGTAAGCCATCTGGCTACCATGAGAGATTCGTTCATGAGGCTATCCACATATACAAACACAGACAATTGCAACAGAGAAGATGGATTCTGGCTTAGCAATCATTGGAAGGATTTGATCAACCATTTCGGGTCTTAATTGATTGGTCACGCTTACGGTGGCTTTCAGACCGCATCCATTATTTTCATCTCCCCCTTCCTCTTTTCCGAACATAGATGGACTCGTCCATCTGAATAAACTGCCAAATCGCTCTCCGTGGTGCTAACGTTAAAAAAACGCCACTTTTTTCAAATTTTCTTGCTGTGGTTTCCACACCTGATGATGATTGCTTGTGTTGCAGTCGAAACGTCGTGAGAATTTTATTGTTTTATATTCTTATTATTTTATTGTTTCCATTCTACGTGACTTTACCGAAATAACCAAGAATATAATGATATTGTTGTTATGGATATGTATAAATCAGCACCCTGGACAGCGCATTCAGCGTAATAATTGCAACGGCCACACGTCCCTACAAGCCACGAACGACTCCATGATCTTAATAACATCGCGCCGCTCTCTTCTTTGGTTTTATACCCAACGAGCGAAGATTATACGGGGTCATTAGATTACAGAGAGCCATCTGACTTCAAATAAACATTTACAGAAGGCTCAGCTAAACTTTTCTCAAGTGTTTTTTTTATTTATCGGAGCAAATTAAAAAAGGACGCAAGCACCCATTATATCACCTATAATACTACTTTAGTATTGAGGCCATTTATCCAAAATCATCATAGGTCCACGAACCCAGGTTCTACGCTGTCATCTCCTGGCCCCCTCGTAGCCCAGCGGGTCCTTTTGGGGGTTTCACAAATCTCCGTGATCCACTAACCCTTGCCTCCAAAGCGCTGGGTCGTAGGCGCGCATAGCCACCACGCCCTGCCATCGCCCCTCGTGTGCAGGCGGTGCAACTGCGCTGGCGTCCACGGGCCGGAGGGGCCCAGGCGCTGAACTACGGGGCTGACAACCAAGCTACGCCACAAGCTTCAGGCATCGGTGGGAAAACTGATGACGCCCTGGCGTGTACAGTGCCTCTACCGTTATACGCAGCGGTAGGAAACACTCCCACAAAACAAACACGCCAGCCTCTTGTTTCCCTCTCGCGATGAGTCGCACTCTATGCACGAATAATCCAGCCAGCTGGCGCGTAGTCCTTAAAGCACGACGGCTCGCGGTTTGTGAAGGTCAAGAGTTGAAATCCCCAGTGAGCGGTCAACTCGGCGTTTCGTCCTTCGTGTTGATTAAAATGAATAACCGTTCAATGCGAAGTGAACAATTGTCTCGTGTACAGGACTGATCCCTTTTAGAGGAATGTGGCATTCTTACCAGTATGCGATCACCTCTCAACGTTCACTTAAGTAGGAAACCATATGCGATTATTATATACAAACAACCAGCGACGATTAAATCAGTTAGTGGACAGTCGCTAAACGGATGACCACATTTCAGGACTGAGATATAGTGATGGCTTTGGGTCAGCCTTCATCATCCAGCAACGGATTGAGCATTGCTGATGATGATACACACAACCGAATACATTTTTTGACATATGCACGTCGAGCATATGAACGATTTAATTGCATAACATGTATTAGATTCTCATGTTATTCTATGCAAGTCATAAATAAACCTTGAGAATAACATTTTGAAATTGTGTCATCACTGTGTATAAGCATTTCATTTGGAAAATTAAATAATTATTTTAATTATATTTTAAGCCACGGTCATGTTGGGCTTTCATGCATTACGTATAAAGACAGAAAGGCCCAATCTCTTTCATCCAATTATGATTCATGTGAACACAGCAGATGGCTTTCATCTGCTGCCGGGTGTTTGATGTGTAAAATGAAGTAGGCTGACATATGTGCACTTTGAATAAACAATACTGTGCAGATATACCGGTAAACCAAAACTTGTTTTCTTTAAAATACAACTCAACCACATCGAGCTGACGAATGCATTGATGAACAGACATCTCTCAGATGCGTCTGCGGGTTGTATCACGTGATGTTTTAGCAACCGTGGGAAGTGCGGCAACATTAATTGTTGTCCATAATAGGTTTTTTGTTTTGCGTCGTTAAAATCCGCCACCACCCGACACAGCCAATTAGTAAGGTACGTAAGGTTTGTCGCGTGACGAACCTTACTGTGTTGGGTGGTGGCAGGTTTAACGACGCATTTATATTTACGCGATATAACCCAACGACCTCTAATACGGATAATATTTGTCGCCAAAGCCCTACGTGTTACACTGATCCATTCTTGTGCACTCCTTATATGCTCCAAAGTCACTGCTCCCGCCTTCACCAACCCGCACTGACCATCATCATGATGATAATGATGCAACAAGTGACCACGGTACATCCAGAAAACACG